CCCCCCCCCTTATCAACATGCTAATGTCATGTGTAAATAAAACCTTTTTCACTTTCATTATATACCTTATTTTAGACCCAATGACCTCATCACAGGGTCCCAGTGCTTCTCAATATAAGGCAGTCGGATCATGGACAACGGGGCAGGGCTGGGATTTCAGAGCAGCAGGGGCTCTGTGTTGTCAGTTCACTACAGGAGCTTAGGAGCCAGCTGGATTTCTGGCTGAATCAACCAATAATTTTCAGTTCTTGATTAATTTACCTTTTGTTATAGTTTTGTTTTTTCCTTTTTTTTTGCCCAGACATAACCCATTAGAAATACTTGTGTGACCCTGTTGACTCTTTTTGATGATGTCATCACTAGTTGCTGCAATTCTATCAGCTGAACGATTGAGATATACATTGTAAATAGAGTTTTTTTCTTTATTGTTGTTGTCAGGAAGCGGCGGGATGATTGAAGGATACAGTCCCGTTGTTCAGTCCCTTCTGGGGACTCTGTTCACGTGGGGGCTGACGGCGGCCGGGGCGGCTCTGGTGTTTGTCTTCTCTACGGGTCAGGTGAGCGGGACGGAGAATTCCTCTTCCATGGTTCTGAGATCCATTTCTTGTCTTGTATCTGATTCAATGTATCAGTTTGCATCTTGTCATCACACGTCTCTGGGCTCGTATACACAGGCCTGGGACCCCCATGGGGAGATCAGACTTGGGTTGCCGACCCCATGGAGACCACCTTACGGTAACGCCCACCTGTGATGCTGAGCCTCCATGATTGACAGAACTGAAATCCAATGAATGAGAGGAGCGCATGGGTGGAAGTCAGTCCGGAGGATTGGGAGTCCCTAGGCGTCCTTGTAACTTCCTGTGCACTGAGCAACGTTAAAAGCGTTTCAAACTATTTCCTGTGAACTACACAACTCCTCCTCCCTAGGTAATCGAGATGAGTAGAGGGGGGAAGGTGTTTGTAGTTCAAGTCAACGGAACAGTCTAGGGCAGTGGTGGCGAACCTTGGCACTCCAGCTGTTTTGGAACTACAAGTCCCATGAGGCATTGCAAGGCTCTGACAGCCACAGACATAACTCCCAGAGGCAGATGCATGTTGGGATTTGTAGTTTTGGAACAGCTGGAGTGCTAGGGTGACACCACTGGTCTAGGGTGACAACACTAGAACTTTCCTAGTCTCACGTTTTTGTTGAGATTCGGCAACAGGAACAGAAATGTTTTTGTTTTTTTCTCTTTACTACAAGTGCTGTTTTTGGGGTGCGGGCCCTTGAAGATGAAATCGCGGACTCTCGTACCTTTTGAACAGGAATTGATTCTCGGTGCCGCGTACGCTCCAACGTTTCTCTTTTCTATTCCTCGCCCTCAGCGGTCGGGAGGAGCCTCACGAATACTTCAATAACCCGATTATCCGCACTCAATTCTCATGTAAATTGCCTCAACCGCCGCGGCGGCCTTCGTTTCCCGAAGACGTAATCCCATAGATCGGCTACCTGCCGGCCCCGAAATTCAATTAGTATTATTGTCTTCTATGTATAAAGTAGCGGATGATGCGTCCTGCGCGGCCGAGATGTGAATGCGCGATAGCCCCGGGGATACGTTACACCCCCCCCCCGTGCGTCTATCCATACTCTGGGGGAATGAGTTGCGAGTTGTTCACCGTAATTTTCGGCAGCGCTGGGTTTCCATCTCTAATTGCCTCCCATCCCCCGCTCAGAAGCAATCTGAAGGCCTTTTTTTTTTTTTTAAATAAAAAGGTCAATCAGACACTGAAGCCCCAATCTCACCTTTCCGGCCCGTTCCCATAACGCACATTGTGTTACATGTAACCATTCCAGCTACACTATATTGCCAAAGTATTGGGCCCCTCCCCCTCCAAATCATTGGATTCGGGTGTTCCGTGACATTTCCTGGCTACTAAATATTCCGCGGTCACCTGTTACTGGGATTATAACAAAGTGGGAGCAACTGGGAACAACAGCAACTCAGCCAGGAAGTGGTCGGCCACGTCACATGACAGAGCGGGGTCAGCGCATGCTGAACCGCACAGTGCGCAGAAGTCACCAACTGTCTGCAGAGCCAATAGCTACAGACCTCCAAACTCCATGCGGCCTTCAGATTGGCACAACAACAGTGCGTAGAGAGCTTCATGGAATGGGTTTCCGTGGCCGAGCAGGGAGTTTCGTCTTCTCATTGTTTCCCGGTGACCTCAGTCACAAACTGGAAGTGATGGGAGATCCAAACTTTTGCACATTCACCTCAGTCTCCGCCCTCGAGGAGCTTGCAATCTAAGGTCCCCATCTCACATACACACAGACCGGAGCCAATTAACCTTCCAGCATGTCTTTGGAGTGTGGGAGGAAACCCGTGCAAGCAAACTCCATCCAGATAGTGACCTGACTGTGATTCGAACCGGGGACCCCCAGCGG